GAAAGAGTGGTGGTGGAAAACCCTTTGTCCAGGGTTGGACACACACACACACACACGTCTAAGCAATCTGACAGCTCTGATATGCTACCTCACCGAGCCAAAACAAGCTTGCAACCAACCCTGCCTCGCAATACACCATGTTTTTTGCGGAATCCACGTCAACATCCACGCCGCACGAGACGGTCCGATACGGCACGTGCGTCCAACATCAACCAACGCATTGCGCAAACGCAGCCAAGGGCAACTTCACCCTCCCTTTGTCCGACTCGGGTTTTCAATGGTTTTCAATGGTTTTGGGGTGTTTTTCAATGGCTTTGGCCCCCAGGAGGCTTTGAGTTCGCTCAGTGCACGCCCCGCAAGCAACCATTGTCGACGTGCATCAACGATGTTCCATGATAACGACACAACACAACAGCAGGGCAAAACAAACAATCCGCACTGACAAACACCCCCAACCTGAAACAATACCAACTGCCGACCCGAGAACAAATCAAAGCAGCAACACAACCAGCAACTACAAGTAGAGCCACATGGAGGACCCAACAAATAAAACGACCATGAAACAAGGGGAACAACAACACAACAAACGTTTTGCACGCTCCATCCACCACAACCACTAGTAGCACCCCCCGGCCGGGGTGCTAAGGGAGGGAAAGGCACTCCGAGGCCAGGAAGTTGCATGGATGCAATGAATGGGTCAAAGGGAAAATCGATGGGTTTCCTATGGGTTTCCTGTGATGTTCTCCCCTAAAGCATCCAAAAACAATCTAAAACCGAAACCCATTCTGGGGAATCCACCCAAATTGCCACCGGAAAATCGCTGTATAAACCGCGAAGTCGTTCTGGCTCTGGGTGAGCTAAGCTCGGAATCCAAGAAAAGCGGCACAGAACTGACACAATCGATCTGCCGAGGCTCTGGATGGTTTGAACATGAGCCTGAACCTGATTCTTTGCCTACCATTTTATTGCATCATGTTGCACCGGAACATTTGGAAAAGGAGCACATCTTGTCGGAAAAGCAAAACATGGTCATCACATGACCAATGCGGCCCAAGGAGCTCTTGATCCATTTGCTTCACTGGCTTTCCCGCTTTCTTTTTCTGCCAACGCACCGAACGGACTGACTGTGCGCTCAGTCGCGACGTGGATGACACTGTAGAATTGTGTTTTTGACTGGCACAAATGAAAAAAGAGGAACTTGAACATGTTGAAAAAAAAAGAAAGAAAGGAAACAGAACATGGACATCTTGCGGCCAAAAGCGGAAACAGGATGAAACAGGTCCCAAAACCTGCTCCTCCAAACAACAATGCTCTTGCCGCTTCCACCAAGTCAACAAAGCACCGGAGCAATTGAACATGTATATATACTGTGTTTCCTCTGAGGCAACCCAACCCACACGGTAATTATGGAGAAGTGGGCACAAAAATGGAACATGAACATGCTAGGGTTTCCAAATAGAATGACAAGTTTCCACTCCTGCAAAGTCATCCTCAACCTTAACCCTGAGACTTGCTTCGTGGAAGACCATTTTCCTCTACAATCCCAACCCCAGTGGTTTCGAGGTTCCATATGTTCCTCTGAAGAAGGTTTGCTGCCTCTACTCAGAATTCCACCCACTGCTTGAAAATCACTTCACCCGCTGTTTGATCCCAAAAATAAGTTCTTATAAATTCACTTCACTTCTTCACTTCTATTGCTGTCTCTACTCAGCTCAGCTCCCCGGAAACAACGCCAAAGAACCAGCTGAGCTCCGGCACCGCCAAGGCTTGCCCCTTCTTGGTGCAGCTGTTCACCTCCTGGGCGGCGTGAGACCGACGTCTCGCGCGGACGTCTCGGTGACCTAGCGGATGGCGAAGAGAGTAGTTAATAGTGGATGGGAAAATCGGAAGTTTGGGGGTGTAAATACACTCGTGGCTGCCTGGGGTCAGGTATGTTTCCATATACAAGCGGCGTACTTAAGTCAACCCACGTCGCGTGAAGTCGACTCATTTTGGTTACAGCACAATGGGCACACTTGAAAACTGAGCACGGCAGGAAAGTGGCTTGCTCAAGGAAAAGTGTGCGCACACTGTGTTATGGCTGGCATTTGGCCTTGCTTTCTAGATGTTTCAAGCCCAAATTTCAATGGCACAGCACCTGCACAACGCGCGCACACACACACAAGTGACTATAGGTCCTACAGCTTCCTACAGTCAACCAACACAGAAGCAGCAGGAGCAGCAGCAGCCAACCAGAAGCAGCAGCAGCAGTGGAGCATGGGCCCAAGGAGCTCTGCATCAAAACTGTCACAAATCCTTGACCCTTCACCCCTGCGGAAGCTGCCCTCCCCCAAAGAACAGATTCACAAATACAAACAAGTCAAGTGACAATCAGGCACACCATGGGCACAACGCAAAACATGTGTTATAGATCAATACAATCTATGCTTAGACATCCCTGTGGAGTGCAGTTCTGCAAGGGCACACGGTTTCGGGTCGACTTTACACAAGCTGAGTCGACTTAACGCTAGTACCTGGTATGACTTATTCCTTCCAATCTACGGATGGCTGGCTGGCTCTGGCACCAAAAGTGCCATTCTATGTCTTTGTTCATCTCGACATCGACCAGAAAGTTCGTTGAAACGTTCGAACCAGTCACTGTCATCTAATGATGGGCTATGGAAAATCCTGATTGCGGCCTTCTGCAATCCCGGTGATCCAAATGATGCGGATGATCGCCGATACCTATAGGAGACCTTCGCCTACAGTATACCATTCGGCCCAGTAGCCCAAATGCACGTACATGTAACTCGTCGCCGCGTCGCCGTGTTTTCCCGTTTGGCCCAGCTGTGCAGGTCACGATTGCCATAGACGGGCCAAAGGGAAAGGCAAGGACGAGGTAAAAAAAGTAAAGCAAACAGGAAGCTATTCGGTTGGGACATGGTTTGGACATGCCATACACTGCGACCCTCACCCAAACATGTATGCACATTTGGAATATATATATATATATGCTCACGCCCCCCCCCAGAACCAACCTTTGCAGCCAAAAAAGCAAACCTGTGCGAAGGATTCCAACTTAAGATGTTGTGTTTTCAAAAAAAGGTTACAGTATCTTACAACCTCTTCTGCCAAAGAGAGTGCCATCTATACAGTTCAGAAACAGGCTTTGGTGAATGCAGGACAGGACAGGATGCATTGCAGAAGCATACCAGGAAACATTGATGTGCATCACTGCATCACAGACAATTGCTCGATAAATGCTTGTTGCCAGACACAGACAAAAAGTTCAGAAGCATGCTTTTGTGAATGCAGGAGAGATCATGATTGCCAGTAGCGTTTCCTTTGTGAACATTGAAGAGCCATGGCAGGAAACATGAATGTCCATTACAGATACTTGCTTGACAGGAGGACATAGACCTTGGGATTTCAATATGCAAAGCCACAAGTATTTGCAGGCACACAGATGCACTTTTTTCACACGTTGGCAATGAGGCTGACACTAGGTGTCCATGGCATGCCTCTTCTGTTATTTCTGGTGCTTCTTCTTCTTGCTTGACTTCTTCATGTTCATTAACACTTATATACAACCTTAATATCAGGCATTATTAAATATGTAGATATTTTTTATCCTAGGAAAAATATATGTAAAAAATAGAAACAATAATATTAGAATGAAGTAATATTATTGCTTATGCTTATTCAATTTTAATAACTTGGGTGCTCGAAGATTAATGAAAATTGCACTGGAATTTCATATAAGTTCATTGTAGTGCTCTTCTCATCTGTTATTCTAAATGATAATCTCTTAAGGTTCTTATTTGAAACATCAATATAAGTCAGGACTATTAATATAGATGGCTCTGAATGGAACAAGGTTTCAATAAGATGAAGTCCAAGTGGTCAGTAAAGAAGTTGGAACATAATTACTTAACAAATAATTTTTTGATAGTGGCCGTGTGCTGTCATAAACATCATGCCCATTAGAAGCACCATTCCATGTATTGCTTACATAGTTTGCTAATTCAGAGTCTGTAGGAATTTTTAACTTAAAATTTAATCCATCTGCCACTTTAATTTCTACTGTTCTGGTTGCTGATGAATAAGCATAAACAAAAATATCATTACCCGCAAATCCCTGACTTTATCATTCATGCCTTGAACCATATCAAAACTTAATTGCTCAGCAAAATAGATCTTATTTCCTAAATAGACCTGTGAGCTTCTTAACAATAGATCACTGTCATTATACAACATAAAATATAGATTTTCATAAAAGCCTACCTCTGTTGTTTTCCACACTGCTGGAATACTGACCTCTGAAATATACATTTTAGTGCCTTGAGGACATTCCATGTTTTCATTCAGTTCAATAACAAAATCTGCTGATGATCTGGACTGTGGTAATTTGTAGTTACTATCAACAAAGACCTTTTTATAAGTTAAACTTTTATTCATTATACTTATTGTTTAGATTTTTTATAAAACATAATATAAATGATCGGTATATTAGGCACAGCAGGTAGAGCAGTAGCTACACAACTTGCAAGAGAAGCAGGTAGGGAAGTAGCAGAAAGGGCATTACAAAGGTTAATAGCTAGAGGAGGAGGTGAAGAAGCAATAAGAAGACTATTAACAAGGGAAGGATTAGAGGAAGTGGTGGATAGGGACTTATTAAAACAATTGGGTAGAAGAGGTGCCCAGATGTTAATAGGTAAGATTGGTCAAGAAACCTATGGTGATTATGAAAAAAAGAACAAGAACTGGAATGATAGAATGAATGACTTTACAAGAAATTTAAATGAACACTTTAGGCAACATAGAACACTATATGCTGAAGAAAGGAATGTAGCAAATAAGGAAAAGATAGAAGACCGCAGAGGTTTATGGAATGCCTATTCAACACCAAGTGGGTTTTATAAAACAGGTAAGACTTTATAGGGACAGGTGGCCGTGATGGATCTTTAACAAAAGATATTATGGATGATCTATTATTGGTGCCTACCAGAAATGTTCATCACAGTGAGAAATACAAAGATTTTTGGTTTTCTGAGAAACCAAAAACCAAAACTCGATTTTTGTTTTTTGTTTTTTGATTCAATTGTTTTGTTTTTAACATTTGTTGTGTTTCCTTTTTTGCGTCTGAAATGTTTGATCAAAAAATGCTTCCAAAAAAAATAGACTGAAAATGAGCATTTTATATGGGAAAGACCAGTGTTTTTGTTAAAAGGTTGGTTCTGGGGGGGGGGCGTGACCATATATATATATATATTCCCCTGAAAGCCTTTTCAACCACCCCAACTGGTTTGGTCATTGATGTGGTCTCCACCTGTTTTTTACATGGCCACGAAAGAGCAAAGGCAAAGCCGCCAAAACGGTCAAGCGGACTGTCAAAACAACTTCGGTTGATTTCCCCAACAGCTTGGGCTGGAGGATATCAATCTGGTTTTGGGACCCCATGTACCATGAGAAGTTCCAGCCTGCCCCATGTACCATCGAAGTGTGGGACGCAACAGTTGCCCTAGCCATCCCGAGATAAGCATGTGTTTCATGTTCTGTCAAAAGCCTCGCTGAAGTGATCAGCACGAAAAAACCGCCTATTTTGTGCAGCCATGTGGCCACCTTCTTTGTGCTACCGCACGCCGCTACGCCGCTACGCCCCGCGGGAGAAAACCAACGAAAAAACCGGCGTTTCCGAAAGAAACCACCACAACGATCGCGCCTTGGGAGCGCAAATGCCTTTGCAGCCTTCCAACAAGGTCTTGGGCAAGGGCAGTTCCATGACACCGCTGATGGGCGTGAGCTTCTCCTGCGAGTCGAGAATGACAACATACCGAGTGCAGAACACACGTCTCCGACCCGATTTGGAACATGGCAAAAACAATGACTACAGTAATGACACACACACACACAAAAAAAAAAACTCGAAAGAATCAATTGAACCTTGAACATCATTAACAAAAACACAATATAAACACTGTAGCGGCAACAGGTAACAAGCTTGGACGATCTCAGAATGTATTACACAAACACTCGATCATACTCCGTGTATGCTACATATGTTGGGTTTGTCCCATTGCAGACTATACCAGCAATTAAATGCCTTCCCAAACAAATTACTGGGACACACCCTAGGCCTTGGACCTAGACCCCGTTCCAAGCACCCCAGGCAAACAAACCAGTTTCATGGAGTGTCCGGCTTAGATCCATGCAGCGAATGAACGAAGCGCCTCATCCTCTCCACCAATCTCTTCGAAGCCCATGCCTGTCCGAGCCGTCAGCTGTCAGCTGAAGATCGACCTCCTGGAAGTGAAACCCCCTTTATGACGTTACGTATAAACTATGTGAATAATAAGCATATCTAAGTTAACCGTGAAACGTTTAAAAGCAAACCGCTTGAGAAACAAAATGGATGGGTTTGTCGTCAGGGACTCTCAACCAGTGGGTTGTGATACGCCTAACTATGGAACATTCTTTGCTAGTTGTGCTAGCCAAAAACAGTGTCTAATAAAAATAAATGCAATGATTGGTACTACACCACTGCTTCCAACTACTCCAGCAGGGTGTTGCAGATCTAATAATGTCCAATGACCGAATGTCAAAGCATGGGCATTGTGGTTTATGTTTAACCAAGACCCATGCTTCATGGACAACCATCTCAGCTTGCATGCCGCCCTTGCATCTCTCAACCGAAGTTACTTTCTTTCTTCAGATTGGACACTGGATGTGTCAGCACATCCAACACACCCACCTGACCACGCTGAAAAGATAGAGGCGGGGTAAACACGCACAAACACCTCATACACTCGCCCTGCAGGATAAAACAGCTGCAACGAAACAACTACTGCAGATCTCGTCTTTTTGAGGTCTATCCATTCGACCGAGGTCTGATCTTCAACTCACCAGCACCTCCCTAGTGACATGGGCTGACAAACGGTTTTTTTTCCTGGACTCCGATGAAGATTGCGAAAGTGGCATCATTTTTGCTGACGAACAGCAGGTGTATCCCAGCATATCCCAATGGGTTGACCTTTTCTCAGTGACCCTCCCCCAAGTGTTTGTCAGGAATCCCTTTTGGGTTTGGGTCAACCTTTGGGCGGACATCACCAACTAAGTATCCAACCAACCAGCAGGTTGACTCCCATTCTGTTCTCTCTCCTTTTCTACCCAAGCTGCGCAAGTAGAACTGGAGCAAAGCACGCTCAGCACCAAGCAGGTCCTGTGAAAGCAAAGCAAATGAGCTGGCCTTTGCTCTCAACATCTGCAGTTTCCGGAAAAAAAAATCAGCCAGAGATGTATTAGGGTCATCAGGATCAACAAACCGGTCATTGCAGGGTCTTGGGTGTCCTGAACGCATCTACCCCCAGAACAACATCGACTGGCACTGGCACAAACACCAGGGCGTCCTGCGTGTTGATGGGCGGAGGGGCCTTCATGCCGAAGTTGTGCGGGATCAAAGAATAAAACCTCGGTGGGCTGACTGAAAGCATGACTGGGCCATGCCATGCTGGGTCAATCTCGACCTCTTTGTGCGACACCTATATCCACCAGAAGTAGATAGTGATGACAGTGAACCTGAAAAGCAAGTCACAGCGAACCTGGAATGGTCAGGATGGTCAAGTTTGCCGCAATCAGCAAGAGCATGATTCCCAATGTGGGTCACAAAGTCTTGGATGGTCGCTTTGGCCAACGTGCGGCACACTCAAAGCGCTTTAACAAATTTGTAGGTCATAAATCTGTGTTGCAGTATATCGATTGTATGTTCAAAGGTATTGGACGTTGCAATTGCTAAAAAGGCACCCCTCAAAACGAAGAGGGAAGAGGCAACTACACAGACCGAAAGGAGTGTGTAAGTCGTTGGAGGTTTAGCAAATAAAACTACAAGGTAAAGCAAATTTAGTATGACAGCACGGGCAACAATTTGTTGAGGGTCTGACTAGGCCGTCTCGTCGGCACGAAATCCTACACGTTTGATAAACTACAGTAAATAACACGTCGTATAAATCAATTTTTTGGGTACTTTGTAGAGGTCGTCCTATTTGCGTGCTGTGTAGTGCAGTCATCACCCCATTCAGAGTTCTTACCTGATGATGCGCGTTGCGCGCTCTCTCTCTCTCTCTCTTTTTGTGCCTACCAGTATTCTTCCACAGCCTTTTCGACATACAGGTTTTGGAAATAGATCAAGCATAGATCAAAACAAAAAATGACCCCCACGTGACTACCCAAGCGAATGACAAACAATTCCTAAACAAATATTTCTGGGTCAGTGGTCTGGTCAGGGTATGCCTGTGGTGCTTTCAGAACCACTGACCATCAACCTTTCCAGGATCCAGTTCAGCCCCCTTCTTTTCTATCTTTGTCTTCGTCTGTTTCTTCCGACGAAACATTCTTCAAAATAACAAATGCGACGTGACGCCACGCAACAACCAACCCAAAGAAAACGAGGCATCCCTTCTGACCAAATGTGTGTACTTATATCTATAAGCGGCCGCTCTGATCTTGAGCTGAAGTGCTCTTCAAATGCTAGGTTTTGAACTCTATACAACTCCAAACTCTGGAGGACACCTGCTTGCAGACCGAAAGGATTCAGTCCCAAGAGATGAAGTGATCGCGCTCCAAGTTCAGGAGGAACTCACTGTGGAGACAGCGACAATTACCTCAGACGGAGAATTCCAGGGGCACGTGTTCCATCACAACTTGACTTTCAAGCTATTCGAGGTCTGGGACCGCTAGCTATGTTCCATCACAACGAAGCAAGCAAAACCTTTCAACAAAATAATCCTTGCGATGAAACTCACAAACTTCGCTTTTCCGACTCGCCGGACGCAAGTGTCATTTCTGCACTGACTCTGTACAAGTGTCTGGAAATGTCTTGCGACATGTGTCTTCTGGCATTGGTTTTGGTTCGTGTGATCAATGCATACATGCCTTGTTGGCATTTTCTTTGGCAAAAAAACAAACATGTATGCATTTGTAGCATCTAGTGTTTTTTTGAATAGATTATTCTTGTGTTTGTATTAAGTATATATTTAGATATATTTAGTGTTGTTTTGCATACAATTATATATACAATTATTAGATATATCATGGCATGTCTCTCGCATCTGGCGGATGCGTTTTTGGATTGGTTAATCTTTTCACATGGGTTCTGGGGATACCACCTTGATGGCACCATCATGGAAAGGTTGGCTTTCGGGAATGCCATTCTGATGAATGCAAGCACGCGTTGTCTGCAGGTTTGGCACGACAATTCCAATGTCATGCTTTGGGAGAATGCAACGACATACGGAAAATCAGCCGCTGTTTCTCCTTCCACATGCGAAACAGGTCTGGCGGGGCCTTCGGTTTCAGTGTCCAAATCACGTGACAATTAAAAAACTCTTATTGCTCCACATCGGACAAGTCTGTCCGACATAGTTGTGCCCGACCCAGCCGACCCATCTCTAGACAGAACCTCATTCGCCGCTGGGCAACTGTCTCTCATGTCCCTCAGTATTCTGGCGTGCTCGGCAGGAAGTCTAAAGGAATCAACAGATAGGGTGCTCAAAGCCTTGCAAGCGGCAAAGCGAACCTGCTTGTCTGAATCTTTCAGCATCTCGAGAAGCTGATCAGTAGAAAGGTTAAGGCTCAAAGCCTTTAAAGCAGCACGGTGAATGTCATCCATTTTCGAGACGTGCTTTGCCAACTGCTCACGAGAAGTGCTGCATAAGGCATCACAACCCGCACCGTGAAGCCACCCACAGTGAAGCCATGACCTTTCCAGCAACTCCACCAATGTCTCAGCAGGAAGGTTTCGCAAAGACTCTTCAGTCGCCAACTGAACCAAATCATTTGAGTGCTCTGCAAACTCCTCAGGAGAAACCATGCACAAAGCATTCCAAGCGGCAAACCAAACCTGCTCAACTGGATCGTTCAACAACTCCAGCAGTTTCGGGAAATGCTCTACCAAGTCCTCAGAAGAAAGGCTGCTTAAAGCCTTAGAAGCAGCAGAGCTAACCAGCTCATCTGGATGAGTCAGCATCTCTACCAGTTTTGAGAAGTCATTTGCCGGTATCTCCACCAGTCTCTTTGATTCTGGCGGCTCTTGGCTGCTTCGTTGTTCTTTCAACTTTGCAATCATGTCATTTGCAACTTTTTGCTCTTGACACTTCTCATCGCACTCTTTTGCAAGGTCCCATTGCAACTTTTCAATCAACTCCTTTGCATCTCT